TTCTTAAAAAACGAGAGCTACAAATTTTTTCTTTCCACAACAAATTTACAACAAAAAAGCTACAATTAATGCCGTTGTAACCTTTTCAATATCTCAATTCTGTCGTCAATGGGGCATGGTGTCAAGTTAGCACTACATACCAAATTTTGTTCGAAAAAGGTTCAACTCAATTTTTTCCAGAAAAACGAAAGCTACAAATTTTTTCTTTTCACAACAAATTTTAAAGTTAAAAGCTACAATTAATGGCATAGTAACATATTGGATATCTCAATTCTATCGACTAGGTGTATGGTGTCAAGTTAGCACTACATACCATTTTTTCTTAAGAAACGAGAGCTACAAATTTTTTCTTTCCACAACAAATTTTAAAGTTAAAAGCTACAATTAATGCCGTTATAACATTTTCAATATCTCAATTCTATCGACTAGGTGTATGGTGTCAAGTTAGCATTACATACCATTTTTTCTTAAAAAACGAGAGCTACAAATTTTTTCTTTCCACAACAAATTTACAACAAAAACACTACAATTAATGCCGTAGTTAACTTTTCCGAATTCGAAAAGTGTAGTGCTAACTTGACACACGTATAAAACTGCTTACATGCAAACATTTTTTTAAAATTCAGATTAAAAGGTTCGAAATTTTGATGAAAATTTGTTGTATTTTTCTAAATTTTGTAAAAATTTTGAAACTTCGACTTAGATGCCTTTAGATTAAAAGCGAAATATCAACATTAATAAACAAAAAGGAATATAAGACATCTACTTAATTGTTTTTTTACTCTCGGCTTAGAGCTAAAAAAACAAAAAACAAAAAATTAATTTTAAATGTACACACATTTTTGGTACTGTATATACATACATACATACATTTTGAACATTATTCATTGAAATGTGTCATATTTTCGAAATATCTTTTCTACTTATTTTTATTTTTTAAAAATATCAACATGTGAACACTTGTTTGTAGCACTGTATGTACGTACATAACATATGCAAATGTAAGTTAAAAATATGCACAAAGAAATCGACAATAATTATGTATCTACATATTCATATTCAATAAAAAATTGTGGTATTACTTTTTTATGTTTAACATGTCACAACACATGTTCTCGTCATAAGCTATGCCCTGAGCCTTAACAAGCCAGGTGGTGGCTTTTTCGAGCATTTTTAGCAAATTTTTATCAACCAAATCATATCACATTTCGTGCTAAATATGTCATGGTCAAACATGTGCTATAACAAAAGGAGAGCTTATTGTCGCCCTGCGGCGCAACACTAAAGAAAAAACGGAAAAGGAAATATAAAAAAATCAAAAAAAAGCTTACAAATGATGTCAATTAACCGTAATAGTTTTAAATGAATAAATTGAGCGCCGAAAAAATAAATTTATTTTTATAACTTTCATGTCTTGGTGAAACTTTTATTCAATCGTTGTCGTCAAGCTCTGCTAACGGAAGACCCAAGAAGCGTGCAGCTTCGATAGGGTATGCACATAAGGACAGAGAGGAGGTTAGTAGAGTAGGGTTCAGTGAGCATGCGAAGATATGTCTCGAATCATGGGGTGCCTCTCCGCATGCCGGGCGGGCACTGGCTTGGCACATCTGCGTTTACTCTGCTCAGGTACGAGTTTAACCTGCCGCAGTAGCCAGAGCGAAGTCGGGCTATTGTGGCCCGAGTCTCCCGAGCAGTGTTGCCAGAACTTTTTGGGCCGACCGGCTAGATTGGCTAGACTCTGGCAAAAAACGGCTAAAATGTTTTAGTGAAAATCCACATGCTTTATTTAAATAAATCGCAAGAAACGAAAGACTAGTTAACACCATTAATTTATATCGAGTGTATGAATCACTATTGTATATATCACCTGAATTCATTAATTTTAAGAGATCGTCATCTACAGTAAAATTATGGCAGCATTTTTCTTCACGTTTTAAACCGTATCTTATATATAAAATAGCGTTTAACGTTTTAACGCACATTGGATTTCTTTGCTTAGTTTTTATTATATTCATTGAACTAAATATTCGCTCTACTTGTGCATTACTTATAGGCAAAACAAGAAAACTAAAAACTAGGTTGCGAAGGTCAGCAAAAGGGTTTTCTCCTAGGGCATTTCGAAATTGATAAACTTCGGCCCAAAATTTTACAGTTGAGTCTAAATTACTCCAGGTATGTAACGTTAACCGTGTCCATTGCATCTCTATGGATGTTATTTCGTCGGCATTATATTTGTGTTTTTGTTGCTGTAGTTGAACAAATACTTTTGGTTTAATTACTCTTAATGCATTTCCAACCGAAAAAAGTAATTTTTTTTTAGTGTGGCAATATTTGTAGGGAGGCGTTGGCGTAATTCCTTTATTAAAGTGATAATAAAATAGCGACCACTTTCTCGAATTATTTTCTCGGCTTCGTGGTCAAAAGCGTTTGTGCTTACGTTTGT